GCTCACAAAGGAATTTATCGACGTTTGACTGACTCGACTGCACTTTTCTGCTTCTTTATTGGCGAAGCTTGATTTCGCAAAATTTATTTATTTCAGTTAGCTATGAAATGTGAGGTTGGGGTGTGCTGTGGAGCAGGGGTAGTTGTATTAGTTTTAATATCAATTTGTGTGTTCTTGAGTTTTTTATTTCGCACATCAGACATCGCGAATTTATGAACCCTTTCCCTTAGAAGGAATTTGATTGTGTTTCATAAGTGTCAAAATTGAATAATAGGTTGAACAATCGCCAAGTTTTTTTTTTATTATTTAAAGAAGGATGATGTTTTGAGCTAGTGCTCTTCGTCAGATCGTATAGTTTTGGTTGTAAACTGTACGATCTGACGAAGAGCACATACTCCATACGTCATCCTTCTTTAAATAAAATTTAAAAACTTGACGATTGGTCATCCTATTACTTAATTTTGTTATTTTTGTCGCCTATGCGGTTTTAACTATGTTTGTCTTTTTATAAGTGTCAATACAGGTAGTAAATTCATTGTAATTATGAAAGTGGCGCTCCTTCGTTTTCTATCGTTCTTTCTATAAAACGTACATTTCTTAAATACCTCAAACTTTAGGTGTCATCCAAGAAGAGTCTTTCATAGGACGAAAATCTCTTGAGGGGCACCCAAGACAGTAGTGCTTAAAACAGCCTTTTTTTTTTACACTGCATCAACGATAACAGTAGACATTCCCAACACAAATACACAGTGAAGAAATAAAATCCTATGAGAATAAAAAATAAACTTTTTATTACTATATAAATTTTATTATCAAATATTCCAAGTTTTCTGCCTTCTAACCACACTAAATATACGTTTTCCTGTCAAAATATACTTGTATTTAACATTAATCTAATTAATTAATTTATAAATCATTGTATTAAAGGAATGAACCTATAAGTAAAAATATAATAAAGTGTTTGAACAGATTAAAAATTTGTTATCACTCCTCATTACCAGATACTTGAACAGTATGGCTATTAATGATTCTACAAGGATACATGAAGTAGAGAAGTAACATGGCATAATGTTAAATAATAATGACCTTGATCAGAATTGTCATTATTTCCAAAATTATTTCTCGAGTTGAATATTAAACATTATTTTCATAAAAAATGTTTGATCAAACAAAAGGTGTTTTGTGAAAGATAGGGCTTAATTACCCAGCTAGATATATATATATACAGTACATGAGTTTTATTTCATAGAATTGGGAAGAGTTTACTAATGGACAAAAACCTTACTTTAGTTTTGCAAATGGATAGAAACATATCTAGATGAATAGTAATAAGTCAGATATGTAAACTATATAATCTAGGAGGATCTCAAAAAAGTTGATTTTTTAAGATTCATTCAATAACCTGTAAGGAAAATGTCTGACTTGATTTTCTACCAGAGAAAACCTTCCAAAACATTTCCATGTATGTTGTAAAGTCAAAATATAGTTGTTTTTTTCTGTGACACTTTATTTCAGGGTATACCATTTACTCACAGCTAAGTTTTGATGATACAAAAATCAGAACTAAACCCATCATAGATTTCATATTTTCATCATTAAACTTTCTGTTGATATTTTTCATTGTGAAGAGTCAGAAGCCTATGTTATCAACCAATCATAAGCTGTGAATGAAAATATTGTATGCAAAATCTTTTTCACCCCACAACTTCATTTGCAAAAAATAGGAGACCTTTCTATATAAGTATAGAAAAATTGTGGTTTACGATAATTTTTATTGATACTTAACTAATATAACAGTTTTTTATTAAAAAGGGTTTAAATTAATTTCACTTTATTGTTTATCAGTTTTCTATGGATAGTAGACAAATTTTCTATATTGTCAATTTTTAGCAGTGGGCCATATTCCCAAGTAAAATATACCAGATATACAGATTCTTCCTGACACACTGGTCTACTTTGACCAGAAATCAAGGTGAATCAAGATTTGGATTAATTCAAAATATGTAATATACTACAAACTGCTGTGAACAAAGTTGATCTTTGTATTCAACTGAGCAGTAATGTGACATTCCCCTCAATATGTGCTTAGACTAAATGCTGAAATTAGCTTTCAAGAATCATTGGGTTTTAAGTGTAGTTCATGTTATTGTAAACTGTGTATCATCTGGCTAAAAGCTGTGTTGTTGGTTTATAACTAATGTGTTTGTAAACAAATGGCTATAAGAAAAATACATTACTAGTAACATGTTTCATATTTGTTACACTATGTTTCACTTGAATTTAACCAACATATATTTATACTAGCTGAGGGTGCTCATTTAAGGAAGCAAAAACTGTATAAAGGACAAAGTTAGATAATGTGCCCTTCTTTCTTTTGTTATTAAATCTCTAAAGACCTTATTAGATGCTAATTGCATACTTTGCTTTGTGGAAGGTAATAACTGACTCATTTAACTGATTAATTACTTGTTTCTTTAAATTCAAAGCCAAGAGTCTATAAAAATTGGAAATGTGCCCTATTTCAGTGTTTTTTACCCCTTCTTGGGCAAAAATTCCAAAATAAAATAGCTCATGTAAACATCCAGACAGTTTCAAGTTGACATATCAAAACTTATGGTAATCAAACCAGCTAACTCTGGGTGATGGTTGCTAACACATACAAACACATAATTAATCATTTTTATAGTAAGATTCAATGTACTTCACAATATGGTGTATTCATACATTTGATTACAGTAAATAAGAGTGCAATAGCTTTTTCTAAGCATTTAATATTGAATTAAAATGATACATCATAAATTATTAACATTTCCAAGCAAGTGGATTTTGTTCCAATTTACATCTAGCATTTGATATATTGTTGTTGTTTTTTTAGCTGGTAGTCTGCTCGTTACAATAACTGTTTAATTACCTACATATATAAACTTACAAGGTTTAATAAAGTTTATGAAATTTCAAAGGTTTTTGGATGTTTTTATGCTAAAACAGAGAACATTTCTATTAATGAATAAAACTACAGGGTGATTAGGGACAAACATTAAGAACTGTCTGTAATCCCTTTTTCTCCAACATTGGAGTATGGATGGACAACCAAAATATGTTTAAAAAGACACAACACTTTACAAAATAAACATACCTCATCTCATATATTTAACAACAATGAATGGAAAACATGTACCAGACACCAAAGGTTTTGAAAAGGAGGGAAACAGGTGTAAATGTGTAACATAGATATCAGATATGATAAAAAGAAAACTTGTAACATTTATGAAATTATAGTTGTGCTACACTGAAAACTTAGACACTAAAGTTAATATCAAGGAAACACTGTGATAATACAATGAATAGTTCATTTGAAATAGGCCCGGCATGGCCAGGTGGTTAGAGTGCTCGACTCACAATCTGTGGGTCGTGGGTCGAATCCCCCATCACATCAAACATGCTCGCCCTTTCAGCCTTGGGTTCATTATAATGTGATGGTCAATCCCACTATTCGTTGGTAAAAGAGTTGGCCATGGGTGGTGATGACTAGCTGCCTTCCCTCTAGTCTTACACTGGTAAATTAGGGACGGCTAGCGCAGATAGCCCTTGTGTAGCTTTGCACAAAAATTAAAAAAAAACAATAATTTTGAAATTAAAAGTAAAATTAGAAGAAGTACATTTTTTCTCTAATCATTTCATTTTATGGTATGTTACTTTAGTTTTATGTAACCCTCATATTACTGAGTTGTATATTATTCATTACTGAACATAGTGAATAATTTCATGTTTTTGCTGTACAGCAACACTCAGTGTAAAGAATGTTAGGATGAAATCACTCATCTTCTAGGTGAGATGTATAGGGGACCTTAACAGTAATTAGTTTTAATTGCACAATTGATGACATTTTGTATATAATTTTGTGTGACTCATATGTTATTAGGGACCCTGTAATAAACAATGTCATGGACCCACAAGCATTTGTTGAATAAATATGAATCCCATTGGTAACTGTAAGGTTAAACCTGTCATTTCCACCATTGACTGACTAATATATGTTCTGGTAATAGTATTAACAAATGTGGATACCGTTAGAATAATTATAGAAAGTAGAGGTAATTTTAAAGTGACTAATAAAATGTTTGAATGAAAAATTGCTCATTTTTTATATACAGTATTTTAACTTTAATTTTACATGTTTTTCAATGATGAAAGTTATTTGAAATGCTGTTGTTTAGAAGTTTTTAATTCTATAAATACACATACCTAACACCCTTATTGTTTATGTAATGTTCATAACTAAAAGTTAATCACAAATTACTTTGGAAGAAAATATAATAATGTACATTAAGTAAATAGTTACTGTACTTGTTTGTTGTTTTTTAAGGCTTAAGACTATAAATTTTTTTACATTCAACTTTCACACCCATTTTTTAGAATCAATTAATGTTATTATTCACATCATTGTTGGAAATATAATAAATATGCATTCTTGTCTTCTCCTACATAATGGCTATGATAGTCTCACAGATTTTGTTTTGTCAACAGGTTTAAATAATAGGACTGAAACAGTGCTGAAAAATATTCCATCATAAGATTTAAAGATTGATTATGAGCAAGGAAAGTAAAATATGGTTTCCGGAAAGTTTGAAAATGGTTTTAAAATTTTGAAAGATTATGACTGTTTAAAAAATAAGTTTGTGAAAAAAGTTTCATTTTTTAAGTGAAATATGGTGATTTATGGTTAATAAACATCATAAAATAATTAACTCTAGAAATTACTTTATTAACTATAGAATGAATGATGATTTGTAGTTTGTTATCAGGACTTTCCTTAATTTAGAGTAAAATTGTTTTGATAATAATGCTGAGATTTATATTCTCAGTGATTGTGACATAACAGTCTATAAAAGTGTTTCTGTGGCAGTGTGAGTTAGACACTGTACCTATTTCTACTCTTTCAGGAGAGTACACCTCTAAATCTTTACTTTGTTTTTTAATAATGTAAATAAATAAATATAGAGTCATTTATTAAAGTGGATATTGAAATTACCAAAGTATTGAAATTTTTATATGGCTTTGGTAATAATCGTTGATGACACTTTTAAGGCTAATCTATCTAAGTATTGCTTAACATGATAATTTACCAAACTTTTAAATTCCATAATGAATATTATTACATTTGAGTGTTGGACACTTTGTAAGTGCTGAAGACAGGCCCCAGGTTTATCAGTTAAGATAGGTAGTAACTGCCTCAGGTGGCAAAATCTAAAACGTTTTTATGTTAATTTTATCTCCAATAAAATTATATATCTCATGCTTGCTTTATGTCCATTATTGTGTCTTACTGACTTGGAAAATATGTTATGATAAAATCACAGTAACCCTAGCACTTTGGAAAGGTGGACCTTTCTTCTTCAGGGGCAAACAGGGAATGGAAACTATGTTTATAGGCACATCCACTGTAAGATAATCAATTTGAATATAAAAACCTTAAGAAACTGGTCTTTATAAAGTAAACCTTTACAGCTAAAAAACTGTTCTTTTAAATCTAAACAGTTTGAAGTAAAATGTAGATGGGTTTGCTAAGGTAAACGTTCACTAGAAATTGCAGCATTTTCTTTGTGTAATATTATATCTATGTCTACTGAGGATAATGGCACAAGGGTTCCAATGGGGTGACATATTTTCTAGGATAGCATGGTACCGAAGGATAGCCTTGTTTAGAGGATAATTTTGTGTACACCATTTCCAAGAAATGTATATCTGCTTAATTCTTATCCTAGATATATGTATTAAATAGCTGGAGCAACTAATTAAGACTGGTGTTCATAGCTTGAAAATGCATAAAACCTGTAGGTAAGGGAATATACTTTTAAAAAGATTATGTTACTCCATCCTCAAATTCAGGTGGAATTACCAGTCCTTTACCACAGACCAATGGCATAGGGACATCAAACTTTGCAGTGACTACAGCAGGGATGAACATAGGTGTTACAAATAGCCTTTCACATCCAAGCTTTCCTGGAATCCTTGCCAATAACTTTGTTTTGCAAACTGTAAGTTCTTATGTGTGTTTTGAAGATAGGGATAATTTCCCTGGATGATTATGTAAAAACCATTGATACTAATGTGGTAGTAGTTATTCATTTCTGTTTTAACATAACATTTTGAGCATGACAATATAGCAGAAAAGAATACTATCTAGTTACATTACAGATGGTAGCACACCATGATATTGACTAAAAGTTTCATAGGCTTAGTTTAGCATGTTTGCTGTTTAACCTGGTACATGTATTAACTCTCATTAGCATTTATTTGTCTACATGCCAAACATTTTAATCTACAATGTGATTAATGTATGAAACCAGATTTTAAGTACATAGAGCTAAGAATAATTTGTAGAGTTTGTTAAAATCACATTAAAACAATCTTGATGAAACCCATAGCACTTTTGAGAGGAGGAACTGTTTTTTCATGGGTTAGAGGTTTCTTTATGATGTTAACTGAAGTGAATTATACATGTTTAGAAGAAGAAAAAACTTGTACTTCTCATCCTGCCTGGTATTTAGACTGGCAGTTTCTTTAAAAATAAATTTCTTAATTTTTATTAATGTTATGTAATGAAAACATAAGGTTTACCAGTATGTTAATATGCTGTTATTAGCTTCACTACATTTTTCAACATAAATATTGATTTTCAGAATTCTCTACAACAACAGAACAGTTATCCACCAAATCATCCACTTAGTGGATCCAAGCACCTTTGCTCCATATGTGGTGACAGAGCCTCAGGCAAGCATTATGGAGTATACAGGTACATGATAAGAAGCTGTGTGATTGGCTGAATTTTTTTGTGTATGTAAGCTCTAGCTGTAACTTGAGAAACAGTTTTAATACTTTGAGTTAAATATCTTAATTATTTTTTTAAGCCAATAAAGAGGTTAACTTTCAGAGATGGCTTTTTTCCAGTTTACAACGAATATTTATGTTTTCACGGGTGACATTGCTAAAGAGACTGTCATAAGTTATCTAGCAGCTTGTATAAACAGGGAACTGAAAATTGTTCCATTAGTATCAAGCGTTTGTTAAGAGGGTGTGATGTACTATCTTGTTTGCCTGTCTCTTAAGATAACTGCATGTAAGAACAATAAAAGGCTGCCTTCAGTTTTTGGACATTTATTTAAAAATAAAAAAAGCCACTTCATAAATTAGTCTTCAGTAGCCTTCTTTCCTAGAACTATAAGTTGATCTCTTAACTTCTTTGTGTATTTTGAATTTCCAGGAACCAGGGAAGATTAGGAATTTGGCAAAATATCAAAAATTCTATATATTATTGAATAAATTTCTTACATACAAACCATATATCATTGAATTCAGTGTGAAAATTTTTCTATCAAAGTATGCCCATATGATCCTGGAAAATAGAAATAGCAGGCATATCAAGTATGCTTCTGTGGTTAACAAGGAGCAAAATAAAAAAACTGCAATTTAGAAATTTATTGCCATTGTAATCGATGGTTAAAATATCAATTTATTGTATAGTTCTGGAAATTTTAATACAATATCAAATTCTTCTATTTGTAAAATTCTGGGTGAAACTTATTACCATAACTTTTCAGATTTCAAAGCAATTTTTTTCTCTTTGGTCACATTTACTTTTTAATTTTATTTCTTTAATGATTAAGTATTGAATCATAGATATAGAAATAAAAAATAACAAGACCATATAACTGAATTAATGTTAATCTTTCCTTCTCTCAGATGAAACTGATATGTTCTTAGCATTATCTTCTGTTAAATTTACTTAGCAAAGCCCAGTGAAAGTAGTATTTCCTTTTTAGTAGACTAGACTAACAAGCTTCAAACATTTAAGTTTAATTTTCTTTTGACTATCTGATTATGACGAATTATAGTCATTGAGAGTCAATTTTCAAACTTCTATTACTAAGATGCAATGTTTTATTTAACTAGATAAATTTAATATTTCATGGTCCCTAAGTTGGAGTATTTTCTGTTACTGGAAATTTTTTTTTACCATATTAGTAACTAGGATACTTACCATACAACAGTTTCAACTTTGCGTCTAACAAAGTTGTGTCTAAAAATGTATAGATCATAGTTTGCATCACTCAGTAGCATGGAAAACAAGGAATGCCACTTCTTTTCAGTCATTAGACACTTGACCTAATGATCATTCTAGCATTGATGATTGAGCAAAACCTCCATAATGTAGTGTATACATTGCACTTCCACTACTGCTTGAAAGCTCAGAAAGCAAGTGATCATGATGCCCTTTTGGTCAGCATTATTTCAACTACTTGACCATCCTTGCTTTGAAAATTGAGCAGTAACCATATGGTATAATACATACACTGTATTTTGTACTACTACAAGAGACTCAGAAAGCAAAGTCCGCTACAACATTTCAGTAAGCAATATTATAATTACCCGATTGTCCTAGCTGTGATCCTTGGGTATCCACTGTCTCACTTGCTGGGGAAACGATTCTAATTGGTGGAAGTCATCCACCAGTGGCATGTCCAGTCCTTCTTGGTTGATTGTCCATAGTTTGGACCAGAGCTGGGGCTGAGTTGCACTGGCTTCCAACAGCTTGGGAGTCATGTGGAGACCTTTTGAAGTGCCAAATTCCATGTTGACGACCCCCAGTTGCTCTTGCTTCCATAAACTTTATCTTTTGGTTGTGGTGAGTACTCCTACATATAAAATAAACCATTATTTCAGTAAAAGCATTCCTGTAAACTCAAGAGATCAAGTCAGGGTTAGTACTTCATAATAATTCCTGATGGCACAGCATTAAAATTTCTTCTTCCTGTATACCTGAGGTATTTTCATGTAAAATCAATTTCCCTACCAGTATCAAACTGGTTAACCTACAATAGCAGCAAATTTTGCCAAGAAATAAGGGGAGTGAACTGTAGGTGATAACTAAAATGAATTTTGTTGTGTGAGAAATAAACAGATCAGACAGATTTAAGGAACAGTGAAAACAATCCTTATTTAGACACACACACACACACACACAAAAAAGTGTGCATACCATCATATACAAGTGGACAATCAACTATACTGGATCAATGAATAGCTCATTGGCTTTCTAGTCCAATAAATGATTCTCTGTCAAACTAGTCATGATGAAAACTAAGTAGAGCTGAACATAGAAAGTGCACTCGAATCTAGAATATAAACTCACTTTCTTTGTACAGTGGAGGGTGTCATTTCATAACCTCTGTTCCCTAAGATCATTGGTCAGCTGTCACTTTCAGTCAGTGTCATAATCAGCCAACCAAGAATATTTCAGTGCTAACCCATTCAGTTCAGATTATATACACAATACTGAAATATTCCTGCAGGAAGAGGAGACATCACTTACTAGAGAGCAAAGAAATGGAACAATTAGAACAAAGCACAGGTAACAACTTTCTGGACCATGTGTAGCTGCCATGACCATGAGGAAACTAAATAATCGAAAATTAAAAAAAAGATTATATATCACTATAGAAGGTAGAAAACACATGATATTGCCATATACCAAACTGGATAAAATGAAACACAGCTAACTTAAATTTGAATATATTTTTCTATATGCTGAAAGTGATAATCCTCAATTAAAAAAGCTGAATGTTCTATTCTATTAGATGATACTTACAGACTCCAGTCACTGAGATTTATTATTTCCCTCTATTAAACAAAACTGACATGCTTCAGTCACCAAATGTTAATATTTCCATCTATTAAACAAAACTGACATGCCTCAGTCACCAAATGTTAGTATTTCCATCTATTAAACAAACTGACATGCCTCAGTCACCAAATGTTAGTATTTCCCTCTACTAAACAAAACTGACATACCTCAGTCACCAAATGTTAGTATTTCCATCTACTAAACAAAACTGACATGCCTCAGTCACCAACTGTTAGTATTTCCCTCTACTAAACAAAACTGACATGCCTCAGTCACCAAATGTTAGTATTTCCCTCTACTAAACAAAACTGACTTACCTCAGTCACCAAATGTTAGTATTTCCCTCTACTAAACAAAACTGACATACCTCAGTCACCAAATGTTAGTATTTCCATCTACTAAACAAAACTGACATGCCTCAGTCACCAAATGTTAGTATTTCCCTCTACTAAACAAAACCAATATGCCTCAGTCACCAAATGTTAGTATTTCTTTCTACTAAACAAAACTGACATGCCTCAGTCACCAAATGTTAGTATTTCTTTCTACTAAACAAAAATGACATGCCTCAGTCACCAAATGTTAGTATTTCTTGCTACTAAACAAAACTGACATGCCACAGTCACCAAATGTTAGTATTTCATTCTATTAAACAAAATCAATATGCCTTTGTCATCAAGTGTTAGTATTTTTCTCTACTAAACAAAACTGATATGCCTCAGTCACCAAGAGTTTATAGTATTTCTCTCTACCAGTCAGAGCTGACATGCCTAAGTGATCACCAAGTATTTATATTTCCCTCTACTGAAAATCTGACATGCCTCAGTCACATAATTTTAGTATTGTGGTATTTTCAGTTGAGATTGATTTCTCCCAGGAGTGAATAAGATATGTCCCTATGTAATGAGACATTCCTCCAGGAAATATTGTGAAGTAATTCTGAATTCCTCTAAAACTAACTGAGTCTGTACAAATGTAAACACACGATGAAGGTAATATTTATTTCCAACACAAAACAACAGTGTGTGTGTATTATTTAAGCACAAAGAGTGTTTGCTTTTACGAGAGCATTGGCTCATTATCTTAAATGTAGAGAAAGCTGAAATTCTTCCAAAATTTTTGTCAATCTATCTGTTATTGTCAGTCTGAGAAAACATCATATTATATACATAAAACTACAATGTCACATTTTCCCAGGGTGACTAATGATATTCATGTGACTGGTTATTCACATTAGAGGTTATAATCTCAAGATATCATGTGACCTACCAGTGGAGAAAACTACTGTCTACTTTCATATAATAAAGCTACGTTCCATAGACAGTCAGAGTATTATCTATGGTGAATGACGCAGAACAACAACTAGTTAGGGAAAGGAACTTAACAACTTTCTTGACCAACATGTTATGTGAAAACTACATACACACTAGCTATGTTAATATAAAATGACAGACCACAGTATTTTCCTGTACCAGACAAAAATGATATTCATCAATCACCAGAAATTTTGTATTTCTATCTGATAGTACAAAACTAATATGCTCAATATGTTAACCTTTCCTTCTCTTAGATAAAACTGGTATGGTCTTAGCATTTCCTTCTGTTAAATTTACTTATCAAAGCCCAGTGAATGTAGTATTTTCTCTTTACTTGATGAAACTAACAAGCTTTAAACAGTCAAATTTAACTTTATTTCGACAATCAGAATATGATGAATTAAAGTCATTGAAGGTGAATTTTCAAACTTCTATTATTAAGGTGCAATGTTTGTTTTTTTTACCTAGATGAATCTGATAACTCTCAGTCCTTAAATTTTAGTATTTTCTGTTACTGGACATTAATGTCAGGTTTCATTCACTAGAAAATGAAACAGGACTTAATTGTTTCATGATAACAAACAAAATTAAAATGACATAGCACAGTCAGTTGTTGAAACCCTGTGGTTTTGATGTTTAACATTTTAAACAATTTTGGTTCTCTGAGTTATAATTACAGTACACTAAAATAAAATATGTGGAATTGATTTATAAAACAAGATTTCTTATTTTATTCTTATACTGTAGCTGTGAAGGCTGCAAGGGCTTCTTTAAGAGAACAGTCCGTAAAGACTTGACATATGCTTGTCGAGAAGAAAAGAACTGTATTGTTGACAAACGTCAAAGAAATCGTTGTCAGTATTGTCGCTATCAAAAATGTCTAATAATGGGAATGAAAAGAGAAGGTAAGCCACCATTTTCAATGGAAGTAATGAATCGATGTGAGTTATTTGTTAAAGTTCTTCAATACAAGCATAAAACAACAAACATCTACATAGCATTATGATAAGTTACCCTAATAGTATAGTATAGGTATGTAGCTGCTATAATCCAGTATGAGGATTTTTTGCAGTTAGGGCTCACTAACAGGAGGTCTGACAAATATTATATCCAAACTCTTGATTGAGTTTGTCACAAAGAAAGAATCAACACACAAAAATGTAAAAACTACAAACTTTAATATACAATAACAATTACATCATGAACATAAGGAAACAAATCAAAAGACAAGTGCTTGTAGTGGCTGTGTTGAACTGGCAAGAAAGAGAGATATGAAAAAAGAAACCTTTATTGGTTTTCTCTCTCAACAAACCCATGTATTTATTTTAAGTTCTACCAGAGGCATTATGTATATGCTTTTTTTGTGCTTTTTATATGGTCAGGTTATAATGCAATTTGATTAACAAATATATAATTATTACTGACAAAAAATATGATTATGTACCCTGCAGCTGTGGTTCAGTAACAGTTGAAATAATTGTTAATTTCACCTTTTCACAGATAGTTTAGAGTATATCTGTCGTGAGGTATATTCAAGTAATTTTTATAAATTTTATGTCAGTGTTCTGTGTGTTTTTATGACATAATTGTAAACTGGATTTGTAAAAGTCATAAACATGTACTAATCTTTATGCTTTGATAAAAGTTACATATAGCAATAGCTACCTCGTGGATGATTGTACCAATTTGACCCTGTGTCCTCTCCCTGGGTGGGGGCAAATTCATCTCAAAGGATGTTAAGGATGCTTGTACAAGTTGGGGGTTCTCTCCCTTTCATGTGTGTTTTGGAATAGTCACTGACATAGGTAATCTAATAATTATGTCACATAGTGCACTAGGACCCCTTTGCTTAGCTTGAAATCATGGTATAATTATTACTCTTCTTGTCCTTGCTCTGTGCAGATGTTATTACTATTTCAATTCTTGTCTTGTGTGGACATATTTAGAAAGTTTCTACACCCTCACTAGCCAATTGTAGTTCAGATATTTAGAAGCAAGCTAATAAGTGAAGTACATACACAGGCATTATTCTTGTGAATAAATATTTTATGTTTTCTTTGCTGTGCATGCTTAATTTATTCTTTACTATTTTTAACAGTCATGAACCTGCATTTTGGGGTGTCTTTACACTACAATTTGTTGAATATTAAAAGTAAGTTTAATCCAGAAACTCCCAAAGAGGATGGTTTTGGACATATCATTTTGAGAGAATTTCAAGACAAGTTTTCATTTATAAATTTATAAGTGAAATACTGCATCCTCAAGTCTTCATACTAGCTAGTACTAAGGTCTATCCACTGGGAGTAAATTCAGTATATATATATCAATAAAGCCACATTTTCAGCATCATTAATTAAGCAATTGCCAAACTTTTATGCTTCTGCTATCACTTTTTTATGTTTAACTTTCAATTGAGATACAAACAAGTTCACCTGCCGTTTGGTAGGGAAGGTCGAAGCTTCACGATAGTCAGCAGTAGGATGAGCAGACAGGAACACTTTGAAAGCAGCTACAGGCATAATATTGTATTCGGCTTGCTGCACAATATCTACCAAGGTAGTTCTAATTGGTTCCTGAATACTTTTTTTGTGTCATTTGGAGACGAATTTCATTCAAATTAAGAAAAACCGGATTGGATAGTTATTTTTTTTCAACAAAAATGTCCCCCACTGGCCTGTGAGGGGGCCTGTTAAAATGAAAATTTAAACTCAGAGAATTAAGACTGTACTTGGCAATAGTTTTTTCCCATATAATAACTTCAAAATCTACTAACTTGGTATGATGAAAAGTCTATAATTAAATATGACTTCAAAAAAATAAATTAGTTGATTACATATAGTTTACTGAGTGTTTTTACATTTTTTAAAATAAAATATATGTGCAGATCTGTTAGATATATGCTTAATAGGTATACAAAGTATAATTTATATTAATTAGTGTTACAAAGTAAGGGATATTTTAAGTTCAAAGTTTTATTTTAGTTACAGTAGTTGTAAATCACTGTAAACAGAAGAAACTTGTTAGTATTGAGTGACCTTACTTTTGTCCGTGCTGTATCATCTCTTCTTATAGCAGTTCAAGAAGAGCGGCACAGAATGAAAGAAAAAAATGAAAATGAAGTGGAAAGTACCTGTAACTCTCCACCTGACATGCCCATAGAACAAATCCTTGAAGCAGAGAATTGTGTTGAATCTAAAAATGAAGAAATAGACATGAGCGTGAGTTCTTTTTTAGTTGTTATTGTTTCAAGTTTAAAGATATGATGAGAAGAAAAATATTATAAAATGTATTGTGAAATTTTTTTTTTCTGTAAGGTTTTGCTTACTTTTAGTGAGTAGATATGGAAAATGCTTTGTAGATAGTAATTTCATGGTTATATCTCTTATTTCAAGTCAGTAAACATTATATATAAGTCTATTTTATACATAAAAGTTCAAAAGCTTAAAATTTTTATTAGTGCACTACATATATTATTAACCAATCTTTATAACTATAAGTTTGATATTTGCATGCAACAAATATAAAAGTATTAGCAATTGCTTGTGTTTTTTATTGTTTAAAAAATTAGGTAAAAAAATTTTTTTGATGTATACCATATTTGATGCTGTAAGTAGTTGTAGTTCATTTGATGTATAGAGACAATGAAACACAGTTTTATGGAATTAGAAGTATTGTTTCTAGATGTACACTACATTCATATGACATATAGAGACAATGAAATACAGTTTTATGGAATTAGAAGTATTGTTTCTAGATGTACACTACATTCATATGATGTATAGAGACAATGAAACACAGTTTTATGGAATTAGAAGTATTGTTTCTAGATGTACACTACATTGATATGATGTATAGAGACAATGAAATACAGTTTTATGTGATTAAAGTATTATTTTTACAAGTACGCTACTGTTTCTCCCTTACTGATAGGTTTTAGCCAATAACAGAGAAATATATATTTAGCAGATTCAAACAGTATTTATAGTAATGCCCTATGTTACAGAAGGAGCCCATAGCCAACATCTGTAAAGCTGCAGATTGTCAATTACACCAGCTGGTACAGTGGGCGAAACACATTCCTCATTTTACTGAATTACCTATGGAAGATCAGATTGTCTTACTTAAAGCAGGCAAGTGTAGCAGTAGAATTCTTCACTGTTGTCATTCCATCTTCCTACATTGATGTATGTATGCTTGGTTCTAGTAACTTAGTGTTATTAGATATATTGCTAAACATAAGAAGATATAACTCTTCTTTAGTGAATTGAATTGTACAACAAAAACATAATAGAGATGGAATAAATAATTATACAAAATTATTAAAGAATATTTCTTCAAAATTGACATAATTTATTGCTTTGCCATCTTTAAAAGGAGTTACTAGCAACCTAGCCAATGTGTATCATAAAAATAACATAGTCTTGTTTTAAGCGAATTAATAAAATTAATAGCATAATTACATTAATCAGAGACAAACTCATGGATTTAGATAAATCTAGTATTTATGAAACTTGTGAACATCATATGAAATTCTTTGGGTGCACAAAATGAAACCTAAATTTATGATAACTTAACATAAAACTTTTATAAATTCTAAATAAACATTTATCAGCCTTGGTTAAATACTTAGGTAAAGCATCTATTTCAGCCTTGACTGACCATGTAAACAAAACATTTATTTCAGTCTTGACTGATCATCTGAATATAACAGGTTGTAACATTAATTGTTTGAATAGTAAAATCATAAGTGAACCAACATCAAAAATTGCTAAGAATATTCATGAAGTCATCAAAATAATATAACTTAGACAAAATGGAGTAATTTTAAATAGAGATGATAGCCCCAGAAATAGATGTACACTGAGTGGTCACAAGTAAATAGACACCTAATTTTTCATCATTTAACTGATTTATGCTAACTAATTTGTGTTCACAGAACACTATATAAATGAAAATGATCCGCACACTAATTATCTTGTGCTACAACATGCCTAGAACTCAAGGTTCTCTCGAATTGTCAGATTTTGTTAGAGGAAGGATAGTTGGTCGCTACAACATGCCTAGAACTCAAGGTTTTCTCGAATTGTCAGATTTTGTTAGAGGAAGGATAGTTGGTCAAGCAGATGGTGGAATAAGTCAGCGGCAAATTTCGCAGAATTTGGGAATCCCGCTTTCGACAGTCAACAGAATCATCGTGCAGTTCAGGAAACACGGCAAGGAAACAACTGAGCAGCGTCCGGGTCCATTGTAGAGGACAAAAACGGCTGTCAAGAGGAGCATCGAAATGGATGCCAGATTAACGACTGCAGAAGTGA